ACTCTGGTTCTGGTTCAGACTCTGGTTCTGGTTCAGACTCTGGTTCCAACATGTAAGGCTGGATGAACAAGTCTTCTGTTGTTGACACATTTTAATTAAATTGTAAATAAAACATTTATGCAAGCTAGAAAAGGCTAATCACCTCTTTCAAACCGGAGCGGACCGGTCTGGAAGCAGGAGGGGGGCGGGGCTTGAAGCGTCTTAAAGGAACAGTAACAAAAAGAGCTGCTTTGAGACACACAGCAGAGAAGTGGTGAAAGAGGAGCTGGTGATGTTAGAATAAGGAGGAATTCAGACCAAAGCTGTAGTTCCACAACATAAATTTCCCACCTGTGGGACTGATAAAGTCCTCTCTTGTCTTGTCTTAAAGACCCAACTGAAGGAYTTAAAAGCAGGATATGTCTACTTTAACAYGTTTTTCYTGCAGRTTCCAGCTTTCAGGAATATCAAATGTGATAATAAAGACTTAATTTTAGAATCTAATCACATATTTATTCTCAGCTGGATAAAGCTGCCTGTTTATAATCTTAGCCCACAGTTGGCTGCACAGATCAGGTTTAGTTTAGTCAGTTAATCAGATGCTCAGTCGACACGTCCTTCAAACACATCAGCAGCCCTGCCTTCAGAGCACAGGAACACATCTGTCAGCCTGGTTTTGAGCTGAAAATGAAAAMAGTCAGTTCAGAGCAGACTTCCTTCATCACATCTGTCTGACTGTCCTGCAGCCGGAGCGTCTCAGGTGAAGTGGAACAAGAAGAACCAGCACCTGCTGGCGTCCAGTCATGACGGAGACGTTCGAGTCTGGGACAAACGAGTGAGTGTTGGGACTGATCAGAGCCAGCTCCAAGTCCTGGTCCTGGCCCTGACCCAACCCGGGCCGTTGTAGCCGCTCTGACTCCAGCTCACGCTGTGTTTGCAGAAACCCAGCACGGCGGTGGAGTACGTGGCCGCTCACCTGTCCAAGATCCACGGCCTCGACTGGCATCCGGACAACGAGTTTGTCTTTGCCACGTCCAGCCAGGACAACTCGGTGAAGGTAAGGACCCTGTCCTGCTGAGAAACCACCATTTCTGCCGTCCCAGAGTCCAAGTTCTGTGTCAGGATTAGTTTAAAGACAAACAGAGTGATTCTGTACGATGAGTTTGACTATAAATCATGATCCGGTCTCAAYGATGGATCGTTCAGTACTTCATGTGGTTCAGGTCTGGAGAACTGTTGGTTCGGACCACTTGAAGGTCTGGTTCTGCTTGAAAAGGAAAACAGGACTGGATCAGGAGTTCCTGAAGAACTGAAGGATCTACAKAGAGTGTCTCARTAAAACCTTCTTTAACGTGTGTTTGGACAGTTCTGGGATTACCGCCAGCCCAGGAAGTACCTGAACATCCTGTCCTGTCAGGTCCCAGTGTGGAAGGCCCGGTACACGGTGAGTCTCGTTTCCTTTAAAAGTTCATTAAACATTTATCTGTCACACCTGCTGAACAACAGGTCCCTGTGCTGTTTCAACAAGTTCAGCTCTTCAGGATATTCCAAGAATACTTTCTGTATTTCAGCAATTTGTTTATAAATATTTACTGGACTTTTTACCTTTTATTCTAGTTCAGCTTTTTTAACTTCTTTGTGCTAATTTCAGCTTGTTTTTTTTTGCTTATTTTAGCTGTTTTGAGCTATTTTTCAGCTATTTTTCATTTTTCTGTCCTTTTTTATTTTTTACTGTTAATTTAAGCTTTTTGTGCTCCTTTCAACTTCACTCTGCTGTATTGTTTTTTCATTTTTAGCTACTCTTCAGCAGTTTTTGCTGAATTCACATTTTAGTTGTCATTTCAGTTTCTTTCTGCTTAATTCAGCAAACACAATCCTTCAGGTTCTTTCTGCTAATTACAGTTTTAAGCAACTTTTCAGCTAATTTTAGCTTTTTTCAGCTGATTTCACTATTTTGCGACATTTTCAGCTTCTCACTGCTTAATTCAGCAAACATGCTCTTTCACTCATGACCCCTATTCATTTCAAGGTTACAAAATATGAGGTAATGCTCACAAGTTAATAATTTTCTGCTTGTTTTAACTTTGCTTTGTCAATTTCAGTTTTATTCTTTTTTTCTTTTTTGCCTGTAAATGTCCCGTGTTTTTGGCTTTTTGCTACTTTCTGGCAGTTTCAACATTTTTCAGCTTTTTAAGTAATTTGTTTTCAAATATTTACTTTTTTTCTGCTAATTTTAGCTACATTTCTGCTCTGTTCAGCTTTTTTAATTTTTCCACTCATTTTCCACTTGTTCTCTTACATTCAGCAGAAGTCAGCTGTTCAAATTAGAGTCACATTAATGA